ATATATATATATATATATATATATATATATATAATTCATTGGTGTATTTAGTTGCAAGTTTAAATTCCACTCGTGCAATGTAATCTTGATTGATACAAAAAAAACAAATTTTTTGCAATCCACTAAACAATTTTTATTTTGCTTTTTTTTTCTACAACAGCTCTTTTAATAAATAAAAAAAAACCAATAAAGGCGTTGAAAAGATTTAGAAACAAAAACGGTGCAGGAAAAAGATGAAAAAAGAATAACGGGTAGAGAAGGAGAGAGGAAGATAGAAAATAAATGAAAGACACGATTACACACTAAAAAATATCAAGTAGATTTGTTTAATCCATATATTTTATGCCGCTATTTAGGATTACAATTGAACAGGAATTTTTTTTTTGCATAAGAAAATTTTTCGGCATTAAATCAGAGCCAAACTACCAATAACAACTATGTCACACATCTTCAGTAACTACAACATCAGCTTATTGAAGATCTTTACTATTCTCTGCACCACTCAAAGAAGTCATATTTATCTGTTTATCTTAATGAATCTGCCGACAATTTTTTGACCAGAGAGAGACTTTCAAACTACCGTCAAGAAAAAAACATTTATAAGACTTTTTGAACAAAAAATTTAGCAAAAATTTTTTAGTTTGCTTAGCATTCTTAATCGATTACTCTACTACCAAGAAAAAAAACAATCTTTTTATTACAATTAAAGCAATTGATAGTTTCGTAAGTGTACACAGCAATCAATACAGAAAGTTGGAAAAACCACAAATGAACCTATATTTAAAAAAGCATTACATTTTTTCCAACAGAAATGGACCATTTTCGCTTCACTGGCCACCACAGCAGCGGAACTGGCACAGAATCACGGTATTCACAAGATTTTTTTACAAGTGCTTATATTTCTTCAAAACCGGAAGTTTACGTTGTATTGTCACATTTTTCAAGGTGCCGCTTTTAAAATTCAAATTTTAAACTCTAATAATCTTCTAAAATTGGTCATTTCCCGTAATCTTCGTTTTCCGCTGTCTGAGACTCTCTGAAACTCAGTAAATCTACTGAGTTTGAAAAATCCAACATCATTAAAACATATCTGAGAACATCATAATAACGTGTTTATTGCTTCGTAATTCGTTCTTTTATTACGCTTTACTTGTCAAAAAACGGTTTTTTACCTTTTATTGTATTCTTTATGCTTCTATTAAACTTTTTATTAGTCATCTGAGTAAAAAAACAAGAGCAATAATTGTCCAAATTAATTAAGAATTTAAAAAATTACCTCTATTTTGAAATTTTTGTTAGATATTTACGCTTTTCGATTACACATGAGTGAAATGACAAATAAGAAAAAAGTGATTAAGTAAAAAAAGTAGAAATACACAGTTTTAAGTGAAATTTAGTTTAGATAAAGATTTAGACAGAAAGTTAACTTATTGAACCTTTTTTGTGAGCCTACTTTAGGCTTATAGCTGGCTTGTTCATAAAACTATCTGAGATGTCTCTTCAGTTGTTCTTTTGAAAACCTGAAAGAAAGTCTAAAAATTATACGACTTGTACGCGTCTTTGCTCTGATAACCTATGTTTCGTCTGTTTCAACTAAATCAAACGTTTTTTTGACCAGGAGTAATTGATGTTATCAATAAGACTGTTGATTTTAAAGATAAAAATAAGTGTTGGATAGTGGAACACAAAAATGACCGCTATAGATGAAGGAACTTTGGCGGGCGAGTACGTCACGACCGTTGATTTCGATTATCGAGCTTCAAAAATTCTAGTGTTTAAGAACGGTGAAGAATATGATCCTGGGCTTCCGGTGGTTATTTCGAGGCGTCAGTTTCGTCACTGGATTAAATTTTTAGACTTTTTGAGCAAGAAGCTAGATATGCGAGCTCCTGTGCATCGAATTTTTCGTCTAGATGGCATTGAAATTCACAGAGTTTGTTTCTTTTGGTATTTTTATAGACGGAGGTGTCATAAGCCTGAAACTAAATAGAAGAAAGCGTTAACAATGTAGTTAAAACAGTGACCAAACTAGTAAATTTTGGAGGTGTACTATTCGTTGATTGCTTGAACAGCTGTGTATTTGCTCTGCATTTGAGCATTCTGGAGGTTTATGTGCTGGAAATAAATCAAAGGATAATAAAAAGAACTTACTTGGAATGGCTACAAATTTTAGTTATTAGTAATACTACTTAATGTTGCGTAAAAGGCTAGAATATTAACTGGTTATCTGTAATCATAGAATAACAAGCGGTACAAAAGTCTACTGATAATTCTGAAAAGAATTGTTACAATTATATGCCCATTCTGCTACTTAATTTTTGACAGTCTTAAAAATACCAAAAGCATTTCAAAATTTCAAACTGTAATTTGTAAATAAAATCATTTCATTTACTGCTTTAAAGAGAACATTTTTAGTTTGACGAACTAGAAAACAATGGATATTATGTCGCTGTAACACACGGTCCATTTATTCAAATGGAGTATGGAGTTCTAGCAAACTGTGAAGAGAAGGAAAAGGTAAAACTGTATTATGCATTCGGCCTATCAGATTCCTCACTGCATTCTATCTACAATAACTTTTTTGTTGAATTACTTATATACAAAACCTAGCGTTTGCTAAATTTTGAGAGTTACGGGTAAAAGTGACACCTGGGGAAACCGTCTTATGATTGACTGCATATCGTTCCTTCATTGCGATATATATGTAATTTGTTACGCTTATATTTAAAAAATAATTTCAAGCATACAATTCTCAAATTTTTCTTTCAAGATTAGATTTTGAATAGACTATGACACACAGAAAAAATTTTAGGTTTTTTTACAAAAAAACTTTCGTGATGGCTTTTTTTACAACAGGAAGCTTAGCTGTTTCAAGCCCCTAATTCTTTCTGCACGAGAAAGTACATTTTCAATGCCTAGCGCTATTCTCCCAGCTTTAGAATGGTACCCAAACAAAGATGCAGAAATCACTTCAGATTTGAAGTGAAGATGAGATTATTAGGTTAAACTTGGTACAACTTTGTAATTTTCAGTATGAGGCCAGTGATCAATTTTACAAAGAATTTCTTCTTAGCTTTAAAAGTGGTATTCGTCCAGTTTGAGATAGTTATTGCTATAAACATAATTTTTACCATTTTTTCATTTTTACTCATATCTGTTTTCTCTTTTGATAATTTATGCATTTTTCTTCTACTTTGTTTGATAATCTGTATATCTTTGCGACTGGTTTTGATTTTACAAAATATTCTGCTCAGTGGTGGTCTAGTACAACAAAAAATTTTAATTTCTTTAGGTGCAATTAAAGCAAAAGTTGCGTAAACGTTTCTAAAAGTTTAAGAGGCAAATAGAATGAAGCCAGAAACTTCACATAAAAGCGGCAGTTAAAAGTGTATAAAAAACGTTTCTAAAGCTAACGCTATAAAATTTATTGGTTTTTGAAACTGACACTTACGTTACGCTAGATATTTTTGACTGAACGATGTTACTCATGTAATTTTGATCATCACTGTAACTAATCATAAATAATCGACAAATAAAAGAAATAGATTTTAATCTTGAAAACTTGACGATAATTTTGTTTCAAGTTTTGGTAAATCTGTATTAAGTTTTTTCAACCTATTTTTTGTGCAAATTAATCGTTGAAATGATAACTGAAATAATCTAAATTAGATTTATAATAGTTGGTTATCAAGACTTTTTAACTGTAGAAAAAAAGCAGCCAAAAAACACTGGCTTTGTTTAGCTTAGAATCATGTATATTACTGCTCATAAAGTGTAAGATGCTAGCTGAAAAGTTGAAAACAAAAACACATTTATAGCCAAAAAGATGGAACTACAATACAAAATTTGAAAGCAAAGAATTTGGGTCGTTAGATTCGGCAGAAAGTGTAGAAATATATTTGAAAAGATGTGGCTACGGAACTGTGACAGGATTACCATTTCCTTTTGACGAACCACCATCACCTTTGAATGGATCAAGAAGATTACCAAAACAAAAAAATCCAGAACTTTTAACAGTGCTCCAAATGAGGGACGATTTCTTAAAACAGAAGGTAACTTATGATGTGACATTTGCAGATAAGAACAGATTCTAGTGCGATATAACAAAACTTATTTTCTTATCTGTTTAATTTTTTTTCTACATTCTTTCCAAGACTTTATCAAATTTTTTTTAAAAAGTTAAGACAAAAGTAACAAAAAAAGCTATACAATAAAAATAAAATCCCGATTTTGAAATTCTGAAATTTTTAAATTTGAGCTTGAAAAACAATTATTTTCAATGTAAGCTGGTAGGAAAATATAAAGTATTTATTGATGAATGATAAAATGTGTAGATTAGACTAGGTTTTTGAAACTCTTAGAAATTATAATATTAAACGTTGAACTTAGAAGACACTATCAGTGAAACTATGCAGTTCAAAACTATAAAAAATTCTTATATCTCCAAATCAAAATTGTTGGAAGAAAAATTAATTTTTTTAAAAAATCTTTTTTACTCTCTTAACAACGCACTGCTCATAAATGGTTCTCAATGTAAATCCTTTAGAATTCAGAAACGAATTGTCACCAAAGCCCTGTAAACGACAACATTTTGAGCGAACTAAAAAATTTTTGCAGAACTGTAACTATTTCACCCAAACAGTCTTACAGTTATAAAAAGCTACACATTACTCTTCCATTCAACAACTTTGTTTAAAATCTTACAAACTGCAGTTTTTCAGACATTTATACCTTTCAGCTTTTAAATGTTAGTGGCTTTTTAGTGGTTAAGATACATAGCTGTCGTTATACTAAAGTTTTTTGAATGGTCTAATACGAACACATCAAAAACCGTAATAGGCCTACTGAAGTTTGACACCTTATAGCAAAAAATTTTATTCTTTCCTACTGCTGCTTCAGATCATGTAAGATAACTTTTTCAGGCCAACAGTACAAAACTGCAACCTGGTTACTCTAGGAATACCATCAAACAAGCGCCTTTTACTGCAGCTGATGAGAAAACTTTGAATATAAATGAAAAAACCAGTGAACGGCTGAAAGAATTGGAGGCGAGACATATTGCTAAAAAAGAATCTTTGCAAATAAGTTCTGCGGAGCGAAGATGGAACAGAAATTCACCAGATAAAAACGAACTGGCATTCACCAGACAAGATTCCAAAGCACCACTAAACCCAGAAGAAACTTCTTTGTTAAAAGCAAAATCTGTCGAGAAAGAAGCCAAAACAAACCTTCAACCGGCTTTTTCTAAACCTGACTGTAGACTGGAAGACTTGAAGTACAAGCCAGATCAAATTTACATTCCTTTATTGATAAAGAAGTGTGCTGATCCCAGTCCTCAAGAAGCTCTTCCAGAGAAGGACGATGAAGAGATTGAAGCAAAGCCAATGAAAAACTTTGAAAACAGTCAACCAAAAAACCAGGAAACAGAAGAACTTTCAGAAGTTCAGCCAAATGACTTACCTAGTGAAACTTTACCAGAAAATATTACAGAAGTGTCATTAGCAGAAGACCGTAATTTGCAGCCGATTCCTTCTGCACAGCAAAATGTCGAAAAAATAGAAGAAAATCTTAAGAATATTTGCCCCGATAATAAAGACACGGCTCTCCAAGAGAGTGAAACAGGCGACGTTACTGTGGAAAGCGTCACTGATTTAGCAGAGCACGATTTCCATGATTCAGATGAAGTACCGTTACCAGATGACCAACAGTATGATCCCGTTATTGAGTCAGGAAATAATGAAGTGACAGATTTTCAAATGGTTGAAGAAGAAAAATCGCCGATAAACTCGACCATGAAACAGATGGATATGTCTGAGGAACCGTTAGATGATAAGATAATGAAAACGCCAGAGGCTGACGCTCAGACGGCACCAGCAAGCCCGATTAGTCAAAAAACTGAAACACTAAACAATAAAACTGCAAATATTCAGCCTCCTGCTTCTAAAATTTTACCTTCAAAACTGCCGCAACAGCATAGTTACCCATCAAGCGAGGTCCTTGACGAAAATGCAGTCAATATTCAAGATACTGTTGAAGCCGAAATACCATCGAAGCCGACTGGTCCAAAAGACGTTGAAATTAGTAGAAGACCATTCAGAAAAGTGTCTAATGCTTACGCTGATTCAGGTCTAATGGAAAAGGTGCGATCTACTGGGGAAACTGCTGAAAGAGCAGAGAAAAAAATGACACATGTTCAAGTGGGAAACAGCCCTAAGAGTCCTCCGAAAAATTCTTCTCCAACAAGCAATCCTCCAGTAGATAAATTAATTAATAAGATATCAAATAATCAAGAGTTAATTGATAAAAAAGTGTTATCATCTGGTGTGGTTAGCAAAGAATTGATAAATAATGAGGTGACAGAAAAAAACGATGAAAAACCAGCGCAAAAAACGCCGGTTATCAAGTTTGCTGAACAACCAAAAATTATTGAGATACCACGTCTTTCGGCTGCCAAGAATCCTGAACCAGTGCGTAGGGACGGCATTGATGAATCACCAGTCTTATCAGAAGATGATGACTATTCGCAAGTACGACCACCTTTTCCGATGTGTTATGATCCAGATTTTAGTGATTTTGATTACTTGTAAAAGAAATTCTTTTTTTTATTTTTTCTGTTGTTTATATGTCATGGGTTGAAGCAGTTTCATAAATTTAATAAGAGGAGAAGACAGAAAGAAATGTTTTCATAAAAAATGTCCTGTTTTTATCTATATAATTGTGTGTATTTTTATGTGTAAAAAAAGTTGAAAAAAGTGAGAAAAAAAAAGAGATAAAGAAATATGACTTTTCAGTTGAGGAGTGGCAAAGACCGATAACAGTGATGCATTTGAAGCAGAGATCTAAGTCTTTTTTTGTTTATTCAGAAACAAGCTAAGAAACAAAAACATGTTTGGCAATAACAAATTGCTCATATTTGCAATTATTAAAAAGCAGAAAAAGAAAAGCAAAACGAAAATTAGGGTGCACATAAACAATAAGAAAGGTTGCAAAATAAACAAGCAGCGTTGAGCTTCAAAATCGTAAAGGTATCAGATCATCAACAACTAAGCTTTTAAATTATAAGACGCATTTTAGTCTTATACTTCTAATATTTCTGCTCTTAGAATTTATCACTATGTTTGTTTTCAATTCAGAAAAAAACATGAAAGAAATTCTTCCAAAAAAATTTCAAGTTCTAAAACAGCTGAAGCAGATAATTTGAGGTTTTACCAAACTGAACCAGTGTTGCCAAATGTATTGTTCTCTTTTGCAGCTGAGCAGTGCAAATGCAAATAACCGGTATCGTAGAATTTGCTTTCTTGCTTTTTTTTTTCGGCAACAGTTTAAAAATGTATGATATTTTAAAGTAGTTGAAGATTTTAAATTGTAGTCTTAATTTCAAAAAAAAAATTTTTTACATAGTATCAAACTTTTCTCACGTGGCTTCAATCCCTCTCTTATAATTTTAATTATCGTATTTCTTATAATTTCGTTCACTTTTATTTTCAATATTATTTAAAGTAATTTTTTGAAAGTTTTTTAAAATATCAATTGAGAATTCTTTTATTTAAGTCTTCTTCTTTTTTTTTTAATGCCAAACCAAACAAGCATAGCGTTAGGTACAGTACGAAGAAGAGCAAAAAAAGAACATTTAAAGAAACGAATAAAAAATCTAGTTTAACCTTCTAGAAGTTTAAAAACCTTTAAAATGTTTTTAAAAACTTACAGGATAAGAAATTATAACTATGCAGTAAATCATTTATATTTCACCTATTTTTTCGTTGTTTATATGTGAGAAGTATTTTTTTTTTAACCTGCTTCCTGGGAGTCTTAATCGTTTGACCAAACTGACGGTTAAGAGGTTCAGGAAGCTGCTGTAGAAGACCGAACTAAATATTAGATTGCTGGTTTAATTTTTTGATCAAAATTCCGGCTTGTTGTTTGCCAGAGATTTATTAATCAAAAAACTGATAATGTAAAAAAAATTGCTGATGAAAAAATTGTATTCTTCATACTGTTTTCTGGCTTAAAATCAATGTTAATCAATGTTTTTTATCGGCAAAAGAAAGCCCTTTATTGAAAGATGTTATCTTTCATCATTGAATGTTGTTTATACGTCAAAAAAAAGCAGTAGAAAAATTGACCAGGTTTATTCGACTTCGTTGATTTCATAATTGCAATTATAATTAGTGGTTTGATGTTAAAAGGTGAAAGAAAAAATCAAATTATAATCTGAACGCATAGTTAAAAACTGCAAAAAATATTTCACGATAAAATTATGTTAATTTATACACATTTTGCATAAACAGTGACTTGACTGCCTTTATAGAATAATTTATAAATTTCAACAAACTATGTTTCAATTTTTCAATCCTTCTTTGGTCTGAATCAGCAAATATTGCTGCCTGGGAGAGGTTCAACTAAAGTATTATGTTTTTTCTGTTTTAGCACACTTATTTTCTCGTAGTTCAGTTTGTTCGTGCTGCACTTCTTCTGCTTCTTCTTCCGCTTCGTCTTCAAGAGAAACCTTTCAGTCAATCGTTGCTAAGAATTAAGATTTTCTATCGTATTAAAACAACTTAAAATGCAATAAAGATTAATTAAGCTGTTTTTAATTAACAGTGAAAATTGTTATTGGCTGTCGAGATTTATGGTTAATGAACAATCTAGGTATTCTGATGGCTAGTCGGTGTAACACAATCGTTTTCGTGATAAAATTGGAGTAGTGATTTTTTTTTTCTTTCCAAGTTTTTTTTTTGAAATAAAAATCTGATATCTATCATCTCTTATTGACGTATACTGACGTCTATTTCTTTTTTCGTGCTTAATTTTGACATTTGATTAACAGACTTTTGTACTGAATTTGTTTAATAATGCTTATGTCTAAACAATTTAGGCCAAAAAAAATGTACGGTAAATCGTATTCAACACAAAAGTTTCTATTGACACAACGAACCTCTGTGGAAACTGCAGATAAATCTACAATGGTAACAGATGACAGCGATTACTCCCAGCAGGGACGTTTATCTGGTTGCAGTTCCAGGTCTAATTCTGGTGATTCTGGTGTCATTCTACCGTTCAGATGTTTAAATGCTGTCAAAGCTCCAGCCAATTATAATTTCTGCAATGTTAGTGTTGAAACAAGTTTTTTTTTTTTTTT